ATGTATCCTATGTTCTCATATGTTTTATGATTTTAACCTGTTTAATGTGCTATATATACATATATATATATATTACTTTTTACAACTTATTTGCAAACGTCGTTTGTCGTTCCCTGGCTTAAACCAACTACGATCTCTTTTTTAAACCATATTTGGTTTTTTTTTGTAAGAGCAAACATCTTCCATCTCGAATGTCCTTTAAATGTTAGTGCGAATAAAAGCAGTAGACCTAGGTAAAATGCTTTGCTGACCTCTACTGGTTAAGTAGCATAACGGCGTACTATTGCAACATTGCGTTGTTGTCACCAAATGTTCAACGATGTTACTTTTTGTTAATATTTCTACACTTGAGTTGTTATAATATAATACAATAGTTATACATAATTATCTTAACTATATCAAATAATATAATCTGGACGTCATTTCTTTGAGGCTGAACGACGGGAGGAATCAAGGTGGCAGTGTTTGCAATGTTGTATCAGGTGTCGTAAAAAGCCAATGCATCAACAATCATTCGGCAGAGGGCTAAGGTAGAATGTCCTTGGTCCTTTGAAGTGTGAGCCAAAAAAAAAAAAAAATCCGACACACTTGCAAACACAGAGACGAGAGTGGCAAAGGAAAAGAAGAGAAAAGGGAGTGTTTGGGGCTGTCACGCAACGTTACAAATGACAGCTGCCGTAAAGCACCACGAACAAATTACAACACACAGAGGCTCGGTAAATTCTAAGAGGCGGAGGAAAGAAGAAGAGAAGCAATGGAGTAATGAAAGCTTTCTGCAGTTAAACACACTTAACCACCTAACTAACGCGTCATGAAATGTAAACATTATGACATGTAGGTGAAAGACACAGCAACATGGTGTTCGAAAGCCTGGTGGTAGATGTCCTCAACCGTTTCTTGGGGGACTACGTTGTCAACCTTGATACCTCGCAACTAAAGCTTGGAATATGGGGAGGTGAGTGAAACGCTTGTTGTTGTTTTACTATGAAGAGTTTAATCCATCGAGTTCATAGCTAGCCAGTGCTAACAGAGGCTAACGTCCAGAGTCTCAGCTGTCAGTGTCACTTTATCTGTGTGTCACAGAATCGCTTTTGGCAGAAATGCGTGCTTCGAACTAATAGGTCTTTACACATTCCTTAGCGAACGTGGTGTTTTTTGTTTGTTGTTTTGTTTTTTTTTACAGCTGAAGTGGTGCTAACTTGGCCTCTGTGGTGGTGTTTCCTTGAAGCCAACATGTAGAGTTTTCTGGGTAAAGAGCAGTTTGAGGTCACACCCTTTCACTCAGCCAGGTTATGACTCGTAAATGTGTTTCACATGTCGAACACAAAAAGCCCTGTGATACAAATTACACCATTGAATCACAAGAGTGGCTCCAGAGCCAGCGTTGAGCCTGACCGTCTTGTACAACTAATAAACAACAGATGAGTCAAGGCGTCTACTGTGTTGTTGTGTCTTATCTGCTGTCTGTATAAACAAATGCCGGAATGTTCTTAAGTGTGATGATTTGCAGATATGGACAGCGTTATTTCCCTTAGTACTGTTATACAGAGTATTAGGTTTGTAGAAGAGAAACTCCCGAGATCCCCCAAATCTGAATTTACTTTAGAGAATTTCAATATATTGATTAACCCAGATTTACATTTTATTTAATAAAAAAATCTTATATTAATTTTATTCATGTCACCTTTATATACAGTACATGTAAACATCTTAAATATATGAAAATACACAAAATGTTTATAGATTTATATACGGCTTACACATTATATGATATATATCACATACATAGTATAGACAACTCATGTCATACAACATATCAGTCATAAAAGTAACACCTGCATTATATACAAAACAAAAAACATAATATATAAACACATATATAAATATTTAATAACACATTTATGAGTGACTGGTTCTGTATAAAAGTCTTGATGTACCAAAAAGACTGACAAAGCATATTGAGTCAGGGGACTGTCAAGGTGAAAAAATTCAATAGATGGTGAGGCAGACTCAAAATTTGATATGTTTGAATGTGCATCTAGTTCTCTAATATGAATGTACTGGGCAAAAGTGTGAGACTGGTTGCAAAAATGTTTTCTTCAAGTGGGCAAATGTTGTAAAAGTCTTGTTAATGTAAAAAAAAGTCACCAGATGACATGAGTTGATTTTTCCTTTACATTACATTACATTACGTTTATCCAAAGCGACTTAGAATTTGAGGCACAATCAAGTTACAGTAAACATAGCATATAATAATAATAAGATGGTGCATGTTAGATGTAAGTGGGTTTGTTTGGATAAGAGGTGTTCGAGAAAATGCTTTTAAATGCTTCTTGAAAAAAGAGAAGGAGGACTCTGCTCTTGTGGCAGCTGGTAGTTTGTTCCACCATGTGGGAACCAGGGTAGAGAATGACAGAGATCACCTTGTGTGAGGATAGGGCAAAGGCAAGTCGATGCTCCTGTGATGAGCGTAGCACCCGAGTGGGTCTGTAAGCCTTAATCAATAAGTTTAGATATGCAGGGGCTCCCTGCAATTATTTTCCACCAGACAAAGGCTTTATCTTACTTCATCATTTTAAAAAAGTGAAATTTAAAAGACTAGTTTTTACAACATACAAAATTACTCTCAATATTATACAAACGTTTTTCTCTGGACAAAAGCATAAATCTGGCTTAATAAGATTTGATAAGTTTTAAAGCACCAAATGAAATAAGTCATAACAATGAGAGTTGTGCACAACTTGTTGCAAAAAAGTTGTTATGTCATGTCTGATCAGACAAAATAATGTACATTTAGTGCGGCCTTACTCCAGCCTTGAGTAAATATAGTTTTTGGATGA